AGCAGCAGCAGCAGCAGCAGCAGCAGCAGCAACAGCAGCAGCAGCAGCAGCAGCAGAAACAGAAGCAGAAACAAGCAAGGAGAGCATCGTTTGGAGGGGGCCTAACGCAGGAGGTGTACATACACCCCACGGCCCCGCTGCTTCACAAAGACAGAGCAGCAGCAGCAGCAGCAGCAGCAACAGCAGCAGCAGGAGGCAGCAAGAGGGGGAGGGGATGGCCTCTTGCTGCTGCTGCTATGCAGCAGCAAATAGGAGATGAGATAGATGCAGCACACAACTGGCCGACGCTGCAAGCTGCTGCTGCTGCTGCTGCTGCTGCTTCTGCTCCTGCTGCTGCTGCTGCAGACGATGCAGTTGAAACGGCATCAGTGCAAGCAGCAGCAGCAGATGCACCAGTACAGGCTGCAGCAGCAGAAGCAACAGAAGAAGCAGCAGCAGAAGCAGCAGCAGCAGAAGCAGCAGCAGAAGCGGCAGCAGCAGAAGCAGCAGCAGCAGAAGCAGCAGCAGCAGAAGCAGCAGCAGCAGAAGCAGCAGCAGCAGAAGCAGCAGCAGCAGAAGCAGAAGCAGAAGAAGCAGAAGACGCAGCAGCAGCTGCTGAAGCAGCAGCAGAGGCTGCTGGTGCTGAAGCAGCAGCAGCTGCAGCAGCTGCAGCAGCAGCAGCAGCAGACCTAGCAGCAGCAGAGGCAGCAGCCCTTGCTGCTGCAGATAGACATGCTGCAGCAGCAGGATTAGCAGCAGCAGATAGTGCGAGAGCAGCAGCAGCAGAAGCAACAGCAACAAAAGCAGCAGCAAAGAGAGCAGCAGCAGCAGCTGCTGCTGCTGCACAAGCAGCAGCAGCAGAAGCAGCAGCAGCAACAGCAGCAGCAGCAAGCCGAACAGCAGAAGAAGCATATGCAGCAGAAGTTGCAGCAGCTAAAGCAGCAGCAGCAGAAGCAGCAATCGCTTCTGCTGCTGCAGCACAAGCAGCAGCAGCTGTATCAACTGCTGTTGCTGCAGCAGAAGCAGCAGCAGCTGCTGCTGCAGCTGCTGAAGCTGCAGCAGCAGAAGCAGCAACAGCAGATGCAGCAGCAGCAGCAGCAGCAGAAGCAAGTGAGGCAGCAGACGCAGTTGCCGCTGCAGCAGCAGCAGCAGCAGAAAGGGCCTCCGCCGAAGCTGCTGCAGCAGCAGCAGCTGCTGCTGCGGCTGAGGAGTCAGCAGCACGAGAAGCAGCAGCAGCAGCAGCAGCAGCAGCAACTGCAGCAGCAGCAAGTGTAGACATACCTGAAGCAGTAGCAGAAGCAGCAGCAGAGGCAGCAGCATCTGCTGTAGAAAACCCTCAACTAGAAGCAGCCGCAGCAGCAGCAGCAGCAACAGCAGCAGCAGCAGCAGCAGCAGTAGCAGCAGCAGCAGCAGGTGAAAGGGAGCCGCAGGATGCCGTAGAGACAGTTGCAGCAGCAGATGCAGCAGCAGCAGAAACTGCAGCAGCAGCAGCAGAAGACGCCGCA